CCGAGATGGTGATCGCAATAGCGGAAGAGCAATTTGGGAATTAGGGTTTCAGGTTATCGCAAAAAAAGCAAGGGAATATTGGAGCAATGTGAGTAATTAGAACATTATATATTTTTAATTTTAATTTTGTTATTATTTTTATTCGACATGACGTGGGATTGAAGTTTTAAATGTTCAACCAGAAATAAGCGACAACGGTGATATATTATTAATTAATGTGATAATACACCACTCGCTTGATCAGAGCGTGTTGCTCACGTGCTTTAATTATCTCTTAATACGTCTATTCAACGTCTAAACCTTGTTAATAATCCATTAATTCATGTAATCCCATTCGTATTATATAGCTTTTTTTCGGTAAAAAATATTTTATAGCTTATAACTTGGTGTAAACACTGTATATGTATATACGATATAATATATATATATATATGGATGGACTTTAACATTGAAAATAATTCATGGTTAAATATTAATGGAAAAACTAATTTTGGTTGGACGTACCTAACTATTGGTCCATGCAGATTTTATATATGGGAATATGATAATTTAAAATCGCGAAAAATTATCAGTCGTCACTTTATTTTTTTTTTTGGGATGAGATTATGAGTCAAAACTTATGGGCGAAACACAGAGTTTCAACGAAGTTGCGGGACTCTACAAAATGAGATTGCGGTAATAACTATATGTAATTTGATTTGAATCCTATTATTTAGTACTTATTTTTATACATCCGAATAGAAAATTTAATTTCCAAAAACTTTGTGAAACTAAGTGGAAAAAAAAACCAATACCATGTAGAAATTAAACATTTTATTTAAAAACGAATACAAATAGAACGAAAACAAACTTAAACTGAATATTAAGAAGTACCTATATATTTTTTAATAAAAAATCTGAATTCTAAATTTTGAAAATCCATAGAAAGAACAGTAGTTTAATAATGGAATTGTTTGATCAAGTTTGTAGTTCAAACTAAACACTGACAACTCTATAAATTTTTTTATAATCCAAAAAATTACCGTACTTTTAGTTCAATTAAGGGATAATTCCATTTAAAACCCTGTACTTTTCTCTCGTCTCAATTTAAACCCTGTACTTTTTTTTATCCAAAAAAACATTGTACTTTTAAAAATTGGCAATTAAAACTCTATACTTTTAAAAATTAGCAAATAAAACCCTGAACGAAAAACAATATTATTTAATGCTGACATGGCATCCTAGTCATCTGCCACATCATCAATCCCTAATATTTAATAATATTAAATAATATAAAATAAAAATAAAATAATAAAAATAAAAATAAAATTTTAAAAATTATATATATTCATAAAATTATACACATATATAAACATGTTTATAAAAATTTTAAAATTATATACATAATAAAACATATTTATATATACACATATATCTATATAATACATACATATATATATATGTATATATAAATATGTTTTATATGTATGTGTGATATATACATGCTTTTCTAAAAATCATATATATATGTGATATATGCATGATTTTTAGAAAAAAAATACATATACCATATATGCATATAAAACATATATATATATATGTATTATATATATATATGTGTATATATATAAATATGTTTATATATGTGTATATATGTATATCATTTCATTATATATGTATGTGTATAAATTTTAAAATTTTATTTTTATTTTTATTATTTTATTTTTATGTTATATTAATTAATATTATTAAATATTAGGGATTGATGATGTGGCAGATGACTAGGATGCCATGTCAGTATTAAATAATATATTTTTTCGTTCAGGGTTTTATTTGCCAATTTTTAAAAGTATAGAGTTTTAATTGCCAATTTTTAAAAGTACAATGTTTTTTTGGATCAAAAAAAAGTACAGGGTTTAAATTGCGACGAGAGAAAAGTACAGGGTTTTAAATGGAATTATCCCTTCAATTAAATCTTTTGTATAACCGAAGAAATCTGGATGAATATCTTTTTTTATATTTGAATTTGAACCCAAGATAAAAAAATATATGTTTTTCTATGCCACCCAAAGTTGATTCACAACTCCGTCATTTTAATTTTTAGCTATAGAATATTAGTTTGTAAAAACAAAATATTTGTTTCGTGGGAAAAAAAAGTTATAATAGGGAGGCTAACAGTAAAGTATTTATTGGACTAACGAAAGTTTTGATTTTGTTATATTTCAATTTAATTATTAAAATTTTAACATTTTTCGATTAAAAAATAATACTTGTCAGATTTTATTGCATTAAAATATTGAAAATAATTCGTTATGGAAAAATAAAATAAATATTGACTATCCAATCAAAATTCATTTTAATAATGTTATATCCAAATTAGATTAATTTGATTTAAGTGAATAAAACTATAATCAATAACTATACCGTTATATGTATTTCATTTTTAAGATACCCAATTTAAAATATCCAACCATAACAAAAATAAATAAAAAATGTAATAGACGTGATTAAGAGAACAATACCAAACTTATTCCTTAAAGCAACCATAAAGGGATGTTAGCATATTCCTGTACGTATAGAAACAAGGACTCCGCAGGCCGAAAACAAAACGATTCCCTATTATTCCGCACTCACTTTTTCATGATTTTCTATTTAATGGAGTTATTGTTTTTCTAAATTCATTACAATATTATTTTTCTTTTTTATTTATTATTCATTGTCTTTATATATCATTAGTTTTTTTTATCATGATGAAACTGATTTTTTTTTCTTCATGTTACAATCCATTAAAATTAATAGGTAAAAAAATCCATTACAACTAATAAATATTTTATTTTGCATGTGCAAAAGACATTATAATTGAAATTTTATTTTTGTTCTCTCTTTCATTGTTTCTTTTTTTTTCCTCTTGCATCAAATATCTAACTTGAAAGATTCAAATGTATAGAGATGACGATATTTAAGATAAGGGGTTTATATAGAATTGAGGCAAATCGAATAATAAAAACGATGAAATCACCTATGATTGCTATATAAATGACCAATATATCGTTCGAATTCTTAGTTATCGACCAGTGGTGTGAAATAGAAAACCTAGACATTGTTTGTGTTTTATATATGTCGATCGGTCTCCTCTCCCGGTGTCTCCGTGACCGTCCGTCCACCTACCCTCTCAGCCGACACGGTCTCATCTCTTTCTCTCTCTTCGGGACATGCTCTCGTCTTTCTCTCGGGTACGGTCTCGTCCGAAAAAGGTGAGTGACCATGTTCTTTCGTGGAACAAAATGGAGATTATACGTGAGTTTTATCTTAAGATGAGATTTGTATCTGGTCTTTGAAATGTTGAGTTTGTATTATGTTAAAAGTGACTTGAGATCTATTGCTATGACAAAGACAGTGATGGAAAGGTTAATGTGCTTTTGGAACTTTTAAACTCGGTAAGATTTTGCATTTCAATCCAACTTGGTTACCTGAAATGGAGGAACAAATCGTCTGTTCGTCTTCAGTTCGAGTCTCAAATTGGAAAGATAGTACTTACATGATTTTTCTCTCGACCCCACGATTAGTTTGGGTTTAGACTCATCATGTCTGCTAATTCAAGAAAAGAAAATTTGCATTTGAATATTTGTATTTTTGTTTGGTCATCGGAGGGTTTTGCTTTTTTTTTTCTTCAGAAATTTCAGAAGAGGATTATAAAGCGTTGTGGCAGTTTAAAAGAATCCGATAGTTAATGGTTTATATCGAAGTTGTATATTGCTATTAATGTAATAAATTATAATTATTATCACAAGTGTTGTGAAGAGTAATGCTGCACTCCATTATTGTTATAAATAAAATTTTCTTTAAAATATTTAAAAGCAAAGGCATTACATTTTCTTTGTTGATATAAAAATTTTGATAAAATTTGTCTCCAATGGTAATTGCTTTCTTGAAAAGGAAAAATATTAATCTCTTACAAAAAATCGAATCTCTTCCATGCAAGCATTCGTATTGTGCAAAATGGCCCAAGTTCACGAGGTAGCGACACGTGGCCTATTGGATTTTCCGAATCTTTGGAAAGCCCATTGGGCCTCTTCGTCGGCTCTTTTGGATTATCGTTCTTAGAAGTTTTATTAAAATAGAAGTTCCATTTTTTTTTATAATTAGTAAACTCTTGATTCAACTATATATTTCAAAAGATAAAAAAAAATCCGTATGAATATTTATCTCTAACTTTAATTTAAAACCATTAGATTTTTTTATTTCTTCGATATTTTGTATTTTTTCTCGTTGTCTCTTTCTTTCACGACGATCACTACAACGACGATGCAAAATCAAGAAAAGATAAGAAACCTTCTTCGGTTTCGTAATTTAGAAATCCGAGCTTCCTTTTTCTTTCTTCCTTCCAAATTTATTTCGTACGTAGATATTTCAACCTGAACTCGTTTTTTTTTTTATTGAACAAGAATTGACACTTCTATACTCCAATAAAAAACAAAGCAAAGAAAATTCGAATCGAACTAAAAATCAATATAAAATCAGTTGCATATAATTTTAATAAAAAACAAAATAAAAATCGAAAATATTCGAATGGAGATATATACGCAAATTGCACATCCCAAACGCTACCCTAATTACCAACGACGTCCAAATTTCGTTAGGGTTCTATTTCTCTAAATAATCATATAATATTAGATATGGTGGTTATCCCATCAACGACAAAAACACAAAAATCCGGATTAAATAACAAAGCCATTCAATTAGTTAGTTTATTTATTTATTTTTTTTTTATTTCTGGGGGTGAGTATGGTTGTTAATTCACTTGATCTCATTCCATCACCGACAGTAGGGTTGAACCCAATATCATTCACA